TAAATGAAGACATATACCAGCTGTGTATTTCCAGAAAGGACCCAAATGATTTGCAACTGTGGTGCTTGCTGGCAGAAGAAGTGGAGATAGATTTGACCCGAAGCAGATGCAGGGGGGGCTCTGGATGGAGCAAGCCGTCCCCCCCACGCTTTCAAAAGGCCCCTAAGCCTCCAAAAGGAGGAGTGATGGCAAGGCCCAGATCCACTGCCTGTTTTCGATGTGGGAAGGGGGGCCACCGGATTGCAGACTGCAGGGTCAAGTTGGATCCCAAGGGGGCACAGAGAGGAGGGAGGAAACCTGAAAAAAACCCAGCCAAGCCTCACGAAACCATGCTAAAGACGGGGGAGGTTGTAGAGGTCGCCCCTCTGGCAGGAGAGGGGTTGGGATCTCCGACCTTCTTTGAAGAAAGTGAATCTGACTCGGAAGACGACTTCCTGGTAAGTCCAAATAAGGGCCCCATGACCATTCCAGTAACATTAAGAGTACTCACTTCAGGGACCGAAGGGAAGATGCTAGCCTTGCTAGACTCTGGGTGCACGAGGTGTGTAATTAACATGAAAGTAGTTGAGGAAATGGGCATCAAATTGAGAACTTTAGAAACGCCCATAGCCTTTTGCCAATTGGATGGATCAGTGGCGGGAGGTTGCCCTGCATGCTTCATAACGGAACCCCTAGAGATGACCATGGGGGAGCATAAAGAGACTTTGTGTTTTATTGTGGCCCCTGGAATGGAGCAACCATTAATACTGGGATTACCCTGGCTTTGCAAGTGGAATCCCCATGTGAATTGGAGGAAAGGGTTGCTGCCCATACGCACCAATCAGAGACAGGAAGGGGAGGGGCGATCCCAGCAGAGCCTTCAGAATCTGGTTGAGCTAGCCTCCATGGGCACCAAGGACTTGGAGGGGGAGGAAAAAATCCCAAAAGAGTATTGGGACTTAAAGGAAGTGTTTAGTGAAAAGGCTTCAGATGAGCTTCCCCCTCATCGGTCAACAGATTGTAATATTGAAATTCTGCCTGGGGTAACGCTCCCGAAACCGAAATTATATTCGATGACACCACGGGAATTGGAAGAGTTGAGATCCTTTATCGACAGGAATTTGAAACGTGGTTTCATCCAACCCGCTAGACCTCGGGTAGCTGCCCCAGTGCTGTTCCGTGAAAAGAAAGATGGCTCCAAGCATCTGGTAGTTGACTATAGAAACCTGAAAGCCATTTCCGTGGAAAACGTATACCCCCTCCCCGTGATGAAGGACATGCTAGCCCACCTGGCGAAAGGGAAAATTTTCACAAAGTTAGACTTGAGAGAAGTGTACTACCGAATTCGAATTAAAGAAGGAGATGAGTGGAAAACTGCTTTTAACTGCCCGATGGGTTGCTTCCAGTTCAACATTCTCCCATTTGGACTACAAGGGGCTCCAGCCATATTCATGCAGATGATCAATCACGTGTTACATGTTACAAGGGGTTTTTGGTTTACCTTGATGACATCCTTATTTACACGGAAACTTGGGATGAACATGTGAAACTGGTGCGTTCAGTACTACAGAAACTGCGAGCCGCCAAACTGTATGCTACTGTCCAAATGTGAATTCCATCAAGAGAAAATCGACTATCTGGGATATCGCATTTCACACGAGGGTATCGAAATGGATCTAGGGAAGGTGCGGGCTGTGTTGGAGTGGGCCCCACCACGTACCCGAAAGCAACTTCAAAGCTTCTTGGGATTTGCCAACTTTTACCAGCAATTCATCCCGTCTTTTGCTAAAATAGCAATGCCTATCACCAACCTCTTGAAAACTAAAGGGGAGGCGAAACCAAAGCCTAGTAAGCCGCTGGAGTGGTCCATGGAGTGCCAAGCTGCCTTTGAAAGGCTGAAGCGACTGTTCGCTGCAGAACCAGTGCTAAAGCACCCGGACATGGATGCCCCTTTCGTAATCCAAGCTGATGCAAGTGATGTGGCCGTTGGAGCGGTATTACTTCAAATCAATGAGAAGGGAACTTTACAACCCTGTGCCTACACCTCCTGCAAACTAACTCAAACTGAAAGGAGATGGGCCGTCTGGGAGAAGGAAGCGTTTAGCTGGGCCCTATTGACATGGAGACATTTCTTGGAAGGAGCAAAACACCCGTTTGAGGTATGGACTGACCAAAAGAATTTGGAAGCCTTAAAAACGCCTTAATTGTCTCCTAAACAAGTTAGGTGGGCCCAGTATTTTAAGCGGTTCAACTTTTCATTGAAGTACATCCCGGGGGGGAGGAATTTTATGGCGGATGCTTTATCTAGACTGCCTCAATATAACAGTGTCCATCAGGAAGTGATACGACCAATTGTTTCAACCAAACAATTAACTGCCCCGGTGGTCACTTGAGCCCAGAAGAAGAAACAAGTTGTGGATTTATCGAATGATTTGATGGCGCAATTGAAGGAGGCCCTAAAATTGGATGAATGGTTCTTAGCTCATTCAAATGACTGTACAATTAGAGATGGCTTGGCCTGGATGGGGGCAAAGTTGTATGTACCAGAGACCTTGAGGAGCCAAATATTGCAACAAGCCCATGACTCTAAAATGGCTGGTCACTTTGGATTCGTGAAAACCTTACACCTCGTTAAGCGACAATTCTGGTGGCCTGCGTTGAAAAAAGACATTGAAACTTATGTGGCTAGCTGCTCAGTTTGCGCCTCAGCGAAAAGGCCACCTGGTAAGCCACTGGGGCTGTTACAAAGTGTGGCTAAGCCAACAGCTCCATGGAAGGAAATCTCTATAGACTTTATAGTAGAGTTACCCGAGAGCACCGGAAACACGGTTATTTGGGTAGTAACCGATTTGTTTTCCAAACAAGTGCATTTCATACCTTGTTCTAAGATTCCCTCTGCAAAATCGTTGGCTAAACTGTTTATACTACAGATTTATAGGCTGCATGGCATCCCTGAACGTATAATTTCTGACCGAGGGGTTCAATTCACCTTGAACTTTTGGAGGGAGTTCTTGAAGTTAATAGGCTCCGCCCAGGGCTTAAGCTCCGCCCACCATCCCCAAAACAATGGGGCCTGTGAGAGGACTAACGCTGTGCTAGAATAATACCTCAGATGTTACATAAATTATCAACAGGATAATTGGGTTGACTTATTGCCATTTGCTGAGGTGGCATACAACAATTCTGTTCATAGTAGTACCGGTTTCCCCCCCTTTAAAGTGGCATTGGGACAAGATTTTGTGCCTATACCTGAGTTTCCTCGTGAAAAACCTAACATCCAGTCGCTAGACGAATGGATATCTCAACTCCAACTGAACTGGCCAGTTGCTCGCAAAGCATTGGATGACACCCATCAGTCCCATAAGAAATTTGCAGATAAAGAGAGCCCCACAGAAGTCCTATCAAGTGGGTGACAAAGTTTTCCTGTCTACCAAATACTTACAAACCACTCAAAAGTCGAAGAAACTTGGTCTTAAGTATGTAGGTCCTTTCACAATTGAACGAATTGTAAATCCTGTGACAGTCCAATTGACACTACCAAATACTCTTCGACGAATTCACCCGGTTTTCCATGTTAGTTTGTTGAAACCTGAACACACTTCTGGTCTGAGACCAACCCAGACTGATCCTCCTATACCATTGCTGATTGAGGGTGAACAACACTTTGAAGTTAAAGACATTTTGGACTCTCGTAAATGGAGGGGTTGTCTCCAATACCTCGTTGCTTGGAAACATTTCCCATCTTCCCAAGCTGAGTGGGTTAATCAGAAGGATGTTAGAGCCCCTAAGCTGATCAAAGACTTTCGCACAAAGTATCCTGATAAGCCCTAGAAATGTATATAATTGTTAACCAGTATCTTTTATGTTGTTCTCTCTTAGAGGACTAATGTCTTTTTTCTAGGAGGGCCGAATGTCAGCCTTCAAGATCTTTTCTACTGCTTTGCATCTTTTGGCTGCCATAAGTAATGGGGGGAGGGGATATGTCTGGGAAGAGAGCTGGAGGTGTTACATTCTTGTGATGTGTAAATGAGGAGTGGGGGGGAGTATAAATTCCTGCTCTTAACTTTCTATTCCTCACTTAGCTTTCTTTTCTCTGCGCAACTGCAAATTCTTTATCAAAATATGTCAAGGTCAACGAACAGAGGCCTCATCACCACCTGAAGATGCTCACATGATCATATTCACAACTTTTAATTGGAAGACTCATTTGAACTATGAGGGGTGGGAACATTTCCAACACTTTGTATATGTGGTCTGCACACCTAATTTCTTAAGATTCAGAATTCTATTTGATGCTACCACTTCATCTTCAGTAAAAGATTTCTTTGCTCTAATCTAAAGAGTCTAAGTTTTTCTTTCTTGAATTTTGAATGGAGCACCACCTGACAGTAATGATCCTTTTCACATTCAAATTCACATCTGATATTTGTTTAGAACCTGAGGATTATCATGAATATATTCACCTGAGAAACACTTGAGAGTCTGATTAGTAAAGGAGAAAATTCTTTTTGTTGAGTAGTGGCTTGTAACTGGAAAATTAACATCCTCCTGAGGAAAAATTAAAGCAATATTTTTGGTCTAGTTTTAAAGGAGGGAGGGAAGGTTTTGCCAGATATTTAGAGATGAACTTTTTTTAACAGATAAAAGTACTTTTTAAACTTGTTTTTATGAAAGTCTGCGCATGGGAAAAAGTGATGAGAATTCTAGCACTTTATGTTTAACTTGTAGCATGATGCAATGAAATATCTTTCTGTAGAATTGTGTTTCAAATTTCAGTATTATTAAATATGACTTTTTAGTTAATACTGTAAAATATCTACTTCATTAATCTTATTTAAGCCAATATGACTTTAAAATTTTTAGATTCAACTGCAATTTCCAATTTACAAAGCAGTGAGCTTTATCAAAATGTAGTGATTTACACACATTTGTACTACTGAACCTCAAAAGATTTGATATTTATTGATTAATCATTATCACACCCATCATGTTTCTCTTATTTTCTATAACAATTCCACAAATGCTGAAAATATCATTTATTGTGCAGAAATAAAGATATTTTTTCCAGTAATCATTAACAATATTTCCACTGGAATTAATAAATAGGGAAATAATAAACAGTGAAATATATTTCAACAGCATGGAGCAATATAATGAGGAATACAGTATTTTTCAAATGAAATGGCAATAGTATGGAAAGTAGCATTGGATTATTGTTTTCATAGCTGGTCATGCAAATTTGTCCAATGGGTTCTTTTAAAAGAAAACAATGATAACACTACAAAATCTTTTGCAGGATTGAATTGGCCACATCCAGAGAATCATCTTTCACCAAAACAATATCATAGGACTCCATATATTTTTCCAGCAGTTCTTCAACCTAGATTTTAAAATGTGAAGAAAAAAAATTATGTGAAAAACCAAACTGACATTCTTTATATATTTCTTCAGTATATTTTTTTCTATTTCTATTTATCTCTTTTCCTTTTTTCTTTTCTGTACTTTCTACTCTCACTTTTTATTCTTTTCAGTTTGTATTTTTACTATTGTATCTTCAATAAAATTAAATAAAATGAAATGGGCAAGCACAGATGCAAGACGTTTGATGAAGAAAATTTCAGAACCATTCATATATAAATTAGATTGAGCTTGAGTTAAGCAATCACATCATTTTGTCGTTTGTCAACTGTAACAATATAAATATACTTCTATTAGTTTAGATGATTAAAATCTAAAGCCACAAATTAAAGAGCAATGAAATTATTTGTAGTTTATTTTTTCTTTCGTTTTAAATGAAACATTGTGTAGTTTCAGCCCAAATTTAGAAATAATTTTATTTTGTCTAATTTAAAGAAAGGGAGTTGAATTAAAAGATCTTTCCACATTTTCATTTGTGCATTACATTTGAACAAAATAGCTGTGTTTAGGGAGAAAATACAGATATTTTTAAACTATAGAGCTTTTTAAAAGGTTTTTTTTTCACATTTTAAAAGTTGTGGAAAGATCTTTTAATTTCATATATATAATTGAACTCCTTTTCTTTAAATTGGACAAAAAACAGAGCTTGATTTCTTTTCCTTCTCACAAGACTTTTTAATAAACTTTTGTCACTCTCTTGTTTTGTTTACATATGTCTTTTAACTCTTAAAATATCCGGTGGTTTCTTTTATACTGTTACATCTTTTTTCATATTGTTCCTGTAGCCTGTCATACTATAATTGTAATAATGTAACAGTTTATAATGGTAAATCAAGCTTTTGTCTTCTTTAACTGCAATCTTTAGTTCTGTCTAGTATCCAATTTTTAAAATCTTACTTTAAAAAAAAATCATAACTAGTATTATGATAATATTATAAAATCAGTATTAGTGTAATACTAATGCAGTATCAGAAGTTCCAGTTTAATTGTATAGAATGTGAAAGATGTATTTTTTTGTTTTATTTTTATAGTTTTCTTATGTATGATGTACACTGAAGATAGCATTTAATTTTGTTCGAGGTACAATGACAATAAACTAAACTAAACTAAATCAAAAGCTTTTTCCCACATTGAAGATTCTTTATAATCTTATTTCAATCTTATATCTTACTGTTTGTAATTTTTTAAAATCAAAGTTTTATTCATCCTTTTATTGTTTATTCCATTTTTAAAAGTTCTTTAAACGTGATTTTTTTTCATTAAGGATTGAAGGTAAATTCACCAAGTAGTGTCCAATTTTTTGATTCAAAGATTTCTAATTGCTAAAAAGAACTTAAGAAGTAATTTCCAAATGTAACTAGAACAATATGTGAATTTAGTGTCCTTCCAAAGATGCTGACTGCTATTTGGGCAAAATGGCTATTTCCCCAAGCTCTAGATATGCTGGAGGGCTATTTCCTTGCAGTCTCCTCAGGAAGAACAGCTGCTTGAAGCGTTTGTGACTGATCTTCCAGAAAGGATCAAAGAGCCAGCCTCGGGAAGAAGGCATGACATGGCCTGCAGCTGCCTGTAGGATCAAGTTGGATGTACCTCATCAGCATTAGAAGAAAGTGTTCAACTGAGTATGGCAGACTCTGTAGAGCATAGGAAGGTGGGGGCAACAGGGATTTATGCTATGGTACTGGGATGGTTAATCACAGGGTGGGGCTTGAGGCAATATATCCTAGCAGCAGTGATAGTGTTGTGACTGAAATAGAGGCCTGTGGTTGGTGGCAATTGGCTGAGATTGTTGAACACTCAGGCCTCTATTTCAGCCCTAGACCTGACATGTTGCTGAGGAGTGCCACAGTGCAGGGCAGCCAAAAAGACATAGGTGAGATGAGTTAAAGCACTCCTGTAATCATAAGTATGGGTGGATTTCCAAGCATTCAAATTTTGACCATGTGATTATGGGGACACTGCAACAACTAGGAACCAATCATAAGTCCATTTTTTTCAGCACCATTTACAACTTCAAGTGGTTGCTAAATGATCATATGTCAAGAATTACGTTTATTTAAAATTCAGCTAACTTGTTAAAGGCCTCCTACATAAATATTACCTGCTGCTAGCAAAATAAGGATTTGGAAGTTGTCTGAATACCCTGTGAAGATGGCATTATTTTACTTACTTACTCAATTTGAAAATAGACTCATCCAACTAAGCTGCAATTGGATTTAGTATATTTTAGCTATATTTTTTCAACAAAACATGCATGACAATCAACATGAGAATTTTTTACACACTTACTTTATCATTGAGATATCCAATCTTAAGAATATGTTCAACATTTGCCACTCCATCTGCCATTGTTAAGTCTCCTTGAGAATCTCCAAGTAATATGATATTGCTGTTATCTTTTAATTGTTTAAAGTACTCTGTATTTTTCAATGCCCCATCATGTTTGTTGTAAACATGAATTAATTCTCCTTTAAATCCTTTCAATATGCCCTATTGAAGATGACAGAAATTATTCCTAAGTAACCAGGCAAAAAAAGTAATAACATATATACTTTTAGAATATTTCCAAGACAATTTACTCTTTCCACAAACTCTAAACATATTTTCATTTTATATATATATGTTTTCTGAGGTTCTCGTGGGTATTTGTATGTGGATCTTTGGTTGTTCGGGTTTTCTCCCGCGTAAGATTCGAAGTATCTAGGCAACGTTTCGATGAAGTCTCATTCATCATCTTCAGGCTTCTGTCTTCAGCTCTGTGCTTCTCAGAGTGATGTGAGCTTGCAGCTGCTTCTTCCTTTTAACTGCTAGTGGGGGTGTGACTTGATTGGGTAGGGGCTTGGCTGTGTTTTGATTGGGTGTGTGTGTGTTCTCATTGGTAGGGGGTTTGGCTGTGTTGTGATTGGTTGGGGGTTGGCCGTGTTCTGATTGGCTGGAGGCATGTTCTGTTCAGGTGGGGGCTTTGTTGTACAAACAAATAGAAGGAGCACTCATGGGATCACCCCTCTCACCTGTCATCGCAAACCTCTACATGGAACACTTTGAAACACAAGCTCTAGAAAAATACGATCACAAACCCAAACTCTGGCTCAGATATGTAGATGACACCTTCATAATCTGGCCACACAGGAAAGAAAAACTGAACAACTTCCTCACACACCTCAACAGCCTACACCCCAAAATACAATTCACCATGGAAACAGAAGCCAACAATCAACTTCCCTTCCTAGATGTCTTGGTATACAAAAAATCCAATGGCTCCCTAGGACACACCATCTACCAGAAGAAAACACATACTAACCGCTATCTACATGCACTCTCACACCACCACCCAGCACAGATCAATTCCGTAGCCGAGACACTCATCTCCAGAACAAAATGCTTAGCCGACGAACAACACCTAAAAACCGAACTACACACTCTCACCAACGTACTAACAGCCAATGGATTCCAAAGAAAGAAGATTACCCACCTAATCCAAAAAGAAACCCCAACCAAAATCCAGGACAGAGAACAAGAGAACGGCAAAGCCCTCCTCCCATATATAAAAGGCACTACAGACAAAATCAGCAAGATCCTCCAAAAACACAACATTAAAACAGCATTCTGCACAAACAGAAAAATATCCACCATCCTAAGAAACCCCAAAGACAAAATTGAATTAGAAAACCAAGGAGTATACAAAATCCCTTGCATTGCCTGCCCCACCACCTACATTGGACAAACTAACAGAAGAATAAGTGCACGCATCGAAGAACATAAGAACTCAATTAAAAAAGAAGAACCGACCTCTTCCCTGGTCCAACACCTCAAAGCCACAGGACATGAGATTGACTTTAAAAATACCAGAACTATCGCCAAAACCGAACACTTCAACAGCAGAATAATCAGAGAAGCCATAGAGATAGAAAAACGCCCACGCAGCATGAATAAACGAGATGACACCTCCCACCTACCAGCCATTTGGAAACCCGCCCTCATGAACAGACGAGTACCTAACATGAAGAATGACACCAGACCCACACCCATGAGGGCCACACAAGATGCCACCATCACACTTCCACGCAGAAAGCAGACTCACACCCACACAGAAGATGAGACATGACCACGGACCAGAAGCCGCACTGCAGCCGCATCACTACCCACTTCAAACCCCTCCGAGCCATACATGAAGCAAACTTACACCCACCATGAAGATGCAGCACAACCACGAACTCGAAGCCAAACAGCAGGATCACAGCTCACCAGCTCAAATCCCCCAGCAATTAAGACTAACCTGAGCACAACCAAGCCCCCACCTGAACAGAACACGCCTCCAGCCAATCAGAACACGGCCAACCCCCCAACCAATCACAACACAGCCAAAACCCCTACCAATGAGAACACCCACCCACCCAATCAGAACACAGCCAAGCCCCCACCCAATCAAGTCAACCCCCCACTAGTAGTTAAAAGGAAGAAGCAGCTGCAAGCTCACATCACTCTGAGAAGCACAGAGCCGAAGACAGAAGCCTGAAGATGATGAATGAGACTTCATCAAAACGTTGCCTAGATACTTCGAATCTTACGCAGGAGAAAACCAAAGATCAACAACCAAAGATCCACACACACACACACACACACACACAAATACTGAGAATAAAATACTTCTATTGAAGCCTAGATAATGGCTATCTTATTTATTTTTATATATATTTCAGATTCCCAAAAATTCTGTGTAACTAATAATCAGAAATATCACTGAGCAACTCTCCTCTCCTATGTCTAATATATTTAAACATAAAATAAATCAAAATTATATTTATTAAAAAAATAAAAATGTGACCCTTTAAAATTCATATCTTCAGTTACATGTCTTTTTCCTGCACTTGATGGAATAAATGGGTCTTAACTACTCTCCTAAAAGCCAAAAAGGAAGGAGCAGACTAAATTTCCATGAGGAAATAATTTCGGAGTATGAAGTCAGTGAGCAAAGATAAACATTTCGAAAACCCATCAGATAGATAGGATCTTCAATAAATTGATTACATAATTCAATCTGATTGGACAGGCAGATAATGTTAGAAGAAGGTCCTTGAAATAACGTGGAATCATGTATATCCTTAAAACTACAACATCATTTTATCTTATTGAGAAGCAAACTGGAAATAAATATAATTGCCAAAGCAATGAGGTCACCTGAGGATGTAAGGATATATATTCTAGGGAATCATGGAGATAACCTAGGAGAAGGGAATCCAAATGATATTAGGGGAACACCAGATAAAACACACACTAAACATGTTTGAAATTTAGTGCAACAAATAGCTTCCCCCTCCTCTACAACTCCCTGGGATATAAGAAGAAGGGTCTTCTTATAGTCCAAGGGTAAGGTCAAATGCATCACCAGTTTGGAGTCACAATGCTTCTACAAGAGAACTAAGTCCAGTCCCCTTGAATTCCATTGATTTTTATCTAGGATCACTTTTTCTTGACTGTTAATAGACCAGATTTTTGTGTATAGGTTGCATGTAATAAATCCAAAGTCCTTTCAACTAAACTCCTCTTCCTGGTTATTTGTGCCTGACAGAAAGGAAGGAAGTCCAAGCAGACTTGCAAAATTTTGTTATTTTATAGTTCTGGTGGTCATATGGAGTCTGTTCCTTGATCTGGAAGAGCTGACATATATCCATTAATGAGAAAGCCCCCGGATTTTGTATCAGCTGTAGCTTCAAAGGCAATCACATGTAGAACACTTTGCACTAATCCGGATGGGAGGAAAGAAAAAGGCATGGATACATCAGAGTTAGTTTGGTCTAGTGATTAAGGCACCAAACTAAAAAGTGGGAGACCATGAGTTTAATCATGAAAGCCAGCTAGGTATCCTTGCAACAGTAACTCTCTTTCAGCCCAACCCACCTCAACAGGGTTGTGGTTGTGGGGAAAATAGGAAGAGAAAGGTGGATTGGATATGTTTGCCTTGACAAGATGTTACAAATAACACCCTGAGTTGTTTGTAAAAATAATAAAGGTGGGATATAATAAATAAATAAATGTAAGCAGAGCCTCCCAAGACAAGAATGGCTGCAATTGGATAGAAAAATATATAACCATATAAAAACCCTCTAAACTGCAGTTTTTATATGCTAAACAAGTAGGAGCTGTGTATCCAGGTTACCTCCATATGGCAAACCACATTTGAATAGGAGAGTTCAATTTGGTTTTTAAGAAGACATTAAAACTGAGTGAGAGTAGAGAGTCCCAAGACATTCCACAAAGTAGAGATTTCTGAGAAGATAACTCTCCCTATCCAGACTGGAACTACCACCTCAGAAAGAACCACTACACTATCTTTCCCAATTGACAGAGTGGTTAAGAAGAAAAACAGTATTTACTGTGTCAAAAAGCTTCTAAGAGATTAAGGAGAGTTTTAGTTCCCCTCAACCTGATTTTAACAAATTTGCAAACAAATTAATATATTCTAAGAATACTGACCCTATCAACTGAAGCATATAACTCTAAATTGGAAATATGTAACATTTTTATATGTTTTGAAAGATTCTTATATACCTTAGTAAATGATAATGTAATCTACAATTGCACTTTGTATTTGACATTTTCATACTCACATTATCATCAAAATCCATAAAGTTGGAAACTACTTTGATATTGGAATGGTAGACACCTGCTTGGTGAATAATCTGTTCCAGGATGTCTCCAATCCCAGCAGAAAATATAAATACTGGGACACTGTGTTCATGAAGTTTGTCAAAAAAAAATTCATACCCCTCTCTGTAAAACAGGATAGTTATTTGTAAAAAATTGAATTAAAATCTGACAGTATTTTTTTTTCTGAAATAAGTATTGAATAACTCCTATTCTCAGTTTCAGAATAAACAAGATAGTAGTAACTGGCATCTTATTAGTTATGAAGCCAAGGATTCAATATTTTAAGAATATTTTATTTTTAAAAGAAATGACCTGTGGATTATTTTGGAAACCAGTTGAAAAATTTGCTTTGTTTGATCATTCTAGTCTGATTTCTGTTTGTACAGATACTCATTTTTATTTTGCTATATAAGTGACTCAAGGGGAAAAAACCATCTTTGAAAAGGGTGAAACAGAAATCCCAGAAATTCAGAATGGATCTTCTGCACCTTTCTTATAGAAATAAGATAAAATAGAGAAAGAAAAAAACAAAACCTTTCTTGTGCAATATCTGCTTTCCTATTCCTTGGATCTGAGTACATGCAATAATAGTGCAACACTTAGAAAGAACACAGACTAATGTCTAAACTTCTGGACCTTGGATTTTCTTATTCAATCTCCGTTGGAATTATGGATTTCCTGTCTGGCTGCTCACAGAGGGTCAGATTAGATAATCATACCTCTTCAGCCACTGGTACACCGCGTGTTGAGTCCCTTACTCTATACTCTTTATGTGCATGACTGCATTCCTGCTCATGCTAAGTAATACTATTACTAAATTTGCTGATGATACAATAGTGGTGGGACTCATCTCCGGGGGGGATGAGTCTGTCTACAGAGATGAGTTGGACCGGTTGCCTTTGTGGTGTGGAGACAATAACTTGATCCTCAACACCAATAAGACCAAGGAGCTTATAGTGGACTATAGAAGGAACAGATCAGACATCCAGCCCTTGCTTATCAATGGAGACCGAGTGGAGCAAGTGGCCAGTTGTAAGTTTCTGGGTGTTATCATAAAAGATGTCCTGACCTGGGGTGCTCACATTGCAGCACTGGTCAAAAGGGCCCAGCAGAGATTATACTACCTGGGACTTCTCAGAAAACAACAACTGAATGAAAAACTGCTGGTGACCTTCTACCACTGCACCATAGAGAGTATCTTAACTTACTACACCTGTATATGGTTTGCCAATTGCACAGTGGCAAGCACTCCAGAAGGTTAACATCATTGCCCAGAAGATCATTAGTTGCCCTCTCCCCTCTTTGGAAGACCTTTACAGCTCTCACTGCCTTAAGAAACTTCAAAACATTCTCAAAGATCCATCTCATCCTGGGCACCCTTCTTTTTTGAACTATTACCATCTGGCAGACAGTACAGGATAATAAAAACAAGGACAAACAGGCTGAAAAACAGCTTTATCCTAGGGCAGTAACTCTACTGAATTCTACTGTATAGTGCAATATTAATGCAATATCAGGGGTTTTCAATTCAATGTATAGAATGTGAAGGATGTGTGTTTGTGTTTATTTTTCATAGTCATAATATACACTGAAGATGGTATTTAATTTTGTTGTACGAGGTATAATGACAATAAAGTAAACTAAACTAAACTAAACATGGCTACAGTCTTGTTGAAGTAGGGTAAAAAGCAGATAATCAAATTCTTGAATGCCCCAATGAAGGGGGGAAAATTTCCAATTTTTAAAAGATGCAGTACTACTATTAGATCAGTAATGGTTCGTAAGGATTAGACTTTCAGATGATTGCGATACAAGTGAAAAATAAACTTTGAAGAAATAGAAACTTCTATATTACATAACTGTAAAAAGTGAATAACAAGTAAAAAGTGGTTAATTCTCATAAAGCATTATTTTCAAATATAGCCAAATCCTCATTTATCATTACATAACAAACCAACAATGCAACATTGTGATATGGAACATTTTTAGTGTGCTGACATGGTAAGAAGCTCAATATGTGCTATACAAGAATTACAATGGGAAAGGCAATTAAATTGAAGCACTTTTCTCATCACCATTAAGTACCAGTAAGTCCACAGTGAAGAATAAATGAACATATAACATTTCATACAATTTTTTATTTCTGATGTTTTATGATTACAGAAATAGATGCTTACTTCAGCATAACATCAGACTCTCTCACAATTTCAGCAAGTTTTTCCTTCTGTAATCCTTGTTCAATAAGCAATGCATGGGATTTGTTGTACCTACAATTAAAAATAAAACATTAAAAAGTTTCTTTTCTTATAGGCAGAATATTTCTTCTGGGTGTGTGCATGTGCACCTTTGAATCAGTCTTGACTCCCGGTGACCACCTGGATTAGTCATTTTCAGAAGCAGCCTGCCATTGCTTTTTTTCGAAGGCTGAAAGAGAGTGACTGGCCGAAGGTCATTTAACTGGTTTTATGTCTTAAAATAAAGCTATAACTCATGCCTTCCCAATTTCTAATCTAGTTCCTTAACTACTATATCAAACTGGGTCTTCCTTGGGGCTTTCTGTCCATAAGAAAAATAATATAAATAGACTTCTGAAAGCCACTCTTTGATATGTGTTTGACAATCTTTATATCTGGTGCAACAATGACAGTTTAAGATAAAGCAATCTAATGGAGAAGCAAAAAATAGAGACAAAAATGATTAGCATTAATCATTAATCCGAAAGGCAAGGACAATAATTGAAGAAAGCCTGATCTCTGGAAGATATTCTACCATTCTACTATTGGATATACTGTCTAGGGCTGATGAGATCTAAGGTTGAAATAAATGGAGGGAAATTTATTCTATCATTATATTTGGAAGGTGATTTTACTTCTCAAAAACTGTACCTTATATGTTTATTTTTCCTAAATACTGTACTGTATGTGTAAAATTATGTTGGATGGCATTATACATTTTCAATGGATATCAGAGGACACCAATGAAACTGTTACTTAAAGGATGCTAGAAAGAGTAAGAGGCAATAACTTAAAGCAATAATTTGTCAAGTTTCTTGACAAATTTATTTTAGGTGCACAAATGGTGGACTTAAAATAGGTCATGTATATTATCAAGACACAATAAGTGGGTGCTCTTATCAACAACTGTTTAATTATTCAGTTGCAAACTTTAACCTTTTAACAGTAAACAAATCACTTTTCACAAACTCACCACTCAACCATATATGGATACTTCTCTTCCACTGTAAGACTAGGATCAATTTCAATAGCATAATATATTTCTTTTAGCTGGAATAACTAGAAAGAAAAACAATTAGTTGCTATTTATCTCTGCAATATCGCTTTTTTATTCTAACTGTATAAACTAAACATAAAGAAGAGGGAGTCAAGTTATTTTCCAAAGCACCTAAGGGCAGGACAAGAAGCAATGAGTGGAAACTAATTCAAGAGAGAAACAATCTAGAACTAAGGAGAATAATTAATCAGTGGAGCAACTTGCCTCCAGAAGTTGTGAATGCTCCAACACTGAAAGTTTTTAAGAAGAGATTGGACAACCACAGCGAAATACTGTGGACATAATATACTTTAACTTCAGCAAAGCATTTGACAAAGAAGACCACTTCTTGTAAGGCTAGAAAAAAGTGGGATAGATAGCATCACCACCAGATGGATTTGCAACTGGCTGACAAACCGTACTCAACGAGTAGTTCTTAATGGGTCTACGTCTACAGGAAATAAGCAGTGGAGTGCTGCAAGGTTCCATCTTAGGCCCTGTACTCTTCAATACATTCATAAATTACTGGAGAGGGCGGAGCTGGCGTCACGACGATATGGCATGCGATCTTGGAGGTCTGAGATCGCTGCTGATATCTTTGCTCCTGGACAGTCCTATCGGATCTAAACCGTCCTGAAGAGACGGTGAAAGTGAAGAGCGCATCCTGTCGATCCCAGGGATACTGCAAAGTCCCTGGTAGATCCAGGAGAAGCTCTTCTTGCCAGCGGCAAAGAGGCAGCCATTAAAGCTGCTGAAGTTGGGACAGCTCCGAAACGGAAGAGAACAGAAAGAGTGTGCTGGTTTGGTGAGAACTTTTTTTTATTCTAAGATCTGAAAGGATGCCCTAAGGAAAAGAATGAATCTGTAAAAGTTTTGACAGAAGTGATTAAGCGGCAATTTTAAACAGAAATGTCAAAATAATGTTTGTTTGTTTTTTCTCATTGCTGGATCTTCTATATATGATCTTGTATTTTAAAACTGGACTGGTTTTTTCGTTTATATCTATTTTTTTCTTCTCCTTTTCGATTTTGTGATATTTTAGGCTAGAGGCTTCCTTTAGTTATTTCATTTTTCTTAAATATCTTTTTCTTTTTTTTATTAATTCTTATTATATCCTGCTCGGAAAAGAAGGGGGAAAGTGAGAGCAAAGAAACTTTGTAACACTGCCAACTAGAGACTTGAAAATATTCTATTTCCCTGTGACCAGACAAAGCTAAGAAAGAGAGAACTGAGACTCTTTTTCAAGGACATTGCTATTTGATAAGATAGAGGAAAGAGCATGGGAGAGTATTATTGCAGGTGCTCTTCTGGGTTTCTATCAACAGCTGGAGTCTGGTGTTGAAACTTAGGTGGAAAAAGGTGATAAGTTTTTGGAGAAGAGAGCTATAATAAGAGCCTTGGATAATTAAACGAAGTGCAGTGTGCTCTTTTTACTTTTTCTAAGTTGTGCTATCCCTCCTTACCAGCTTTATTGTATTTCTTTTTATTCATTCATTTATTTATTTTTTTGTAATAACTATATTGGTTTTTGGCTTTGTTGGAGCTTGTCTTTGTTTTTCTTTTTTTCTTTGGAAGTCCAATTTCTACATTTGCTTTTTATTTTAAAGGGAAAGCCTTAAAAGCCTTTTTTTCCCTCTTTCCTGGTATCTTTGTTTTTTTCATATACCTTTCTGGTTTATTCTTATGTACTTTTTTCTATCTGAGACCTTTCAATTGGATTAAGGTGTTGAAGAACCTGAAGAATTTTTCCTTTTCCTTTTTTCCCCCTTTTCTTCTTAAGCCTTTTGCTTCATCTAACTATTGGTTGGATTAAGGTTTACAAGAACCTGAAGAAATTTTGTCCTCCCTTCTTTTTTCTTTTCTTTTTTTTATTATTGGGCTTCTTTTTTCTACTATTTTTATCTTGAACTATAATTGGTTACTTCACAATTGGATTAAGATTTAGAAGAACCTGAAGATTTTGACTTGCTTAAAATGAGTAGGAAATTTACAGCTCCTGGTTCTTCAACTTCTACTTCTTCCTCTCCACCATCTGGTGGACAACGTTCAATACAGACAATGTTAAAGCAAGAAAAAAGAACAAGAAAAAGTGACTCTGCAGATGATTATGCAAGGAATTCAAAATATTCAAGCAAAATCAGAGAATATTGAAAAGAAATAGAGAACATTGAACAAAGAACAGAGAACATTGAACACAGAACAGAGAACACTGAACAAAGAACAGGGAACATTGAACAAAGAACAGGGAAAACCGATGAAAAAGTGGAGAACATCCAACAAATGATGTTGAAGTATGATGAGAGATTCCAAAAAATTGAAGAAGATAAACAAAGAGACAAGAAGATTGGAGATATTCATAATAGATTAACAGTGGTTGAACAAGATAAAAGTGGTATGTTGAGATGGGAGAAGGATCGATCAGAATTCTATCTTAGATTTCAAAACGTAGAGGAAGAAAAAGGACAAAACCTAGCTGAGATAATGATAGAAATACTGGCTGAAGCTTTGGAAATAACTCAAGAGAAGATGATGGATGGAATAGACGAGGTATATCGAGTTTTCACAAGATATGCGATGAGAAATAGCCTACCAAGAGAAGTTCACATTAGATTTACAAAGAAAACCATTAAAACACAAATATTGCAAGTGGCAAGAGAGAAAACATTGAAATACAAAGACAAGAAGATTGTGGTCTTGAAACAAATACCCAGAAGAGTGAGAGAGATGAGAAGAGAATACCGATTCCTGACTAAAATGCTATTTTAAAAAGAGGTGAATTATAGATTGCTGATTCCAGAAGGTTTAATGTTCACATGGCAAGAAGAGAGAATTGACTCAATTGAGAAAGCGGAATTATTTTATACAGAATTTTATGGAGGGAAAAAGGAAGAGGCAGAAAAAGAGATCTCACTAATTTAATTCCAAGAGGACTGCCAGATGGCGACTGAAAAAGAAGAAGGTGCAGTAGATGGAAAAGTGGAAGTCAAAGAACAACGTGAACTAAGATCTACGAGAGCTGCTAAACCTAACTATAAAATATAACCATAGAAGAGAAAAAATTGATTACAATTAATATAAATGGACGTAACTCAGCTGTTAAAAGAAGGAAAACCTTTCATAAATTAGAGAAATTAAAATTTGATATAATTTGTCTACAAGAAGTACATATTAAAAAACAATATGAATGATTGTTGGAACAGCCAAAATTAGGGAAAATATTTACTTCCTTGACACAATGTAAGAAAAGAGGAGTGGTTTTATATATTAAAGAGACCACCCTAGCAAAATTGATCTATACTGATGATGATGGAAGAATACTAATGGTGGAAATAATGTACAATAATATGACAACACTCCTGATTGCAATTTATGCTCTGAATGACAAGCAAGAAGAATTCTACAAAAAATTACATATGAAAATAATTGAACTGGACTATGCTAATATAGTTATTATGGGAGATTTTAATGGAATTGTAGACAATAAATTGGACTATACAGCACAGAAAACAATAAAGCAAAACAGAAAGACTCTCCTTAAATCTTTTTTTAAAATGGTAGATGAAATAAACTTAAAAGATACATGAAAATGCTAAAACTAAACAATACACCTTCTATTCAAATAGACACTTATCATGGTCCAGAATAGATATGATATGGATGTCAACAGAATTAATAACTAACATTCAAGAAATAAATATTGAAACAAGTACCTGGGCAAATCACAATCCAATGACAATTAAATGGAAAGGACAAAAAAGATCTAGATGGATGTTAAATAATACTATTTTAAAGGAAAAAGACTTCACACAGTGGATGGAGAAAGAATTGGCTTTTTTCTTTAGAGAAAACAAAAAAGAAGATACATCAATTCAGAATGTATGGGATACAATGAAGGCATATGTTAGAGGCTTGATAATAGACTATACAAGGAAAAGGAATACTATGAAAAGACTAGCCTCTAAGGCCCTAAAGGATGAGTATAAAAGACTTGAAAAAGAGCTACAGAAAATGCCACAGAAGAAGGACATCAAGCTAAAAATGGATATAATTAAATACAAAATGGGTCAAATAGAAAAAGAAGAATTAGCACAGAAAATTAGAGGTGCTAAACAGAACTACTTTGAAGACGCAAACAACAGGTAGATGGTTAGCATACAAATTGAGAAAGGAGAAAGAATCAAGGAAAATGTTGCAATTAATAGATGACCAAGGCCAAGTTTGCCATGGTAGCAAAGAGAAGAAGGAAATCATTCGAGACTTCTATGGGATGGGGAAAGAGTTAAACAGTACTTACAGAATGCTAATTTACCTCAGATATCTAAAGAGACTGAAAAAATGTTAGAAAGCAATATAACGATGATGGAGTTAACTGAAGCACTCAATAAGCAAAATAATGGAAAGGCACCAGGCCCGGATGGGCTTCTGGCAGAATTTTATAAAACGTTATAAGAATCGTTGAATCTTCCATTGCTAGAAGTTATGAATGAAGTTATGTTAAAGAAGAAGATACCTAAATCATGGTCAGAAGCGTATATTACACTTATTCCAAAAGAGGAGGCCAACCCATTGCAAATTAAGAACTATTGACCTATTTCTCTATTAAATGCAGATTATAAAATCTTTGCTTCAATATTGGCAGAAAGACTTAAAAAATATTTAAATAATTTTATCCATCCTGATCAAAATGGATTTCTGCCAAAGAGACAAATTAAAGACAATATGAGAGTAATCTTGGACACCTTGGAATACTATGAGGCACATCCTGAAAAAGAAATGGCCCTGATATTTCTAGATGCACAGAAGGCATTTGATAATGTGAATTGGCGATTCATGTTATTACTGTTGGAACAGATGGGTTTTGCTAGAAAATTTATTCAAGCAATAGAAGCTATACACTATAAGCAAACGGCAAAGGTAATGATAGAGGGAGAACTGACAGACTCTATCAATATAAGAAAAGGAACAAGACAAGGGTGCCCACTATCACCTTTGTTGTTTGTGTTAACTTTGGAATTGCTAAACA